CATTCAAAAGGGAACAGATAAGGTCCCAAGACGCTCAGATCTTCACAAAAAGAACATCGGGTGGGGGGGGGGGGCAGCAGCAGAAAGTGTCCCGGAACTAAGTTGCAAACTTTGGGGGTTCCTTCTCCCTCCTCTTTTATTCCCCCTCCCAAGTTTTTAGTGTCTCCGCCACCCCCTTGGCGGCCCTGCGTTGCCATGGTGCTGCCCCCCCCCCCAAGGCTGCCGTCCACTCTGCCCTGCGGGGAGAAGGCGTTGCAGGTCTGAAGCCAGCAGCTCACTGGGTCTGGGGGCACCAGGGTGTGTGCGTGTGTGTGTGTGTGTGTGTGTGTTCGTGTTCTGTGAGGCCAGTCTTGGGGTCTGCAAATGTGTAGATACGGCCAGCAGCAGGTGCTTAGCAGCCCCAGGTCCACTGGGGGGTTTTGGAAGAGCACTTCCTTTCCTTTCTCTCTCTCTCTCTCTTTCTCTCTCTTTCTCTATCTCTCTCTGTCCGCCGCCCCCCTCCCCCCATGCAGAGTGAAGATTCAGTGTCCGAAAAAGCTAAGGCTCGCCGGCTTCTCCGTAACACTCCTCCAGTCTACGCATTCCTGAAGCTCTCCTCTCAGCCACCCCTCCCCCAAGCCTGGAGCGCCCCCTGACCCTCGGATACCCGTAGGCACCGCCGCTCAGAAAACCAGTTACTGCGCGGTACCTGCAGGTACCTTCTTGGCGAACACCTCCCCCACGCCCCAGTGGGTCGCTCTCTTTCTCTCCCCCTCACCCCCACCCCAGCACTGAGCACTGGCTGCCTTTTTTTTTTTTTTATAAAACCAGGCCACGGCAGGCGATAAAGATCAGGCGTTTCAATCGCCATTTGGAAGATTACATCTCTCCAGCAAGGGTCTTTCTTTCAAAACTCGCACCGAATTAACGACCGCGGCGACTCGGCACCCGGCTCTCCTCGGGGCCCCGGGCGCGGGGTGGGCTCCGCCGGGGGCCCGCACACCGTCAGACGGCCAAGGAAAGGCCGTGGGGCTACACTCGGCTAATGACAAGTAATTGATGGATCCGAGGCGGCGTATTACCAGCGGAACGGGCAGGCATTAATTATTTAAAAACGATTAGCCTCGCCGTGCGTCCTGCAGCCGTTCGGTCGCTTTCAGGGGAACCAGTCCTGGACGCCCAGCGCAGCCTGGGTGGGAGGGCGGCGGGCGTGCTTGCCAGCCAGACCCGGGTGCGGTGCTCGGAGCTGGCTCAGCACTGGGGAGCCGGGGAGAGAGGGGACAAGGTACCCCCCAAACACACACACACGGGGGTGTCCCCGTAACACTGACCCCCGGGACCTGGTGACAGCGCTGCACGATGGAAGCGCTCGCCGATGGGGAGTGGCAGGCGATTTTCGTGGGTCCGCTTCCTCGCGCGTCCCGCTGCCTGGCCAAGGACCCAGAATAACCGAGCCGGGCAAGGGGCCCTCCCGACGCCTTGACACCCAGGCGCTTAAAGCCGATTTGATGGCAGGGATAGGACACCTTTTCCACCCCTCGCCCTCGGGGTCCTGCGGCTCTGTTTCCCCAGAGGTCGCCGCCTCCGAGCGCAGGTGGCAGAGCCGCGCGCTCGGTTCTGTTGGATCTTCCGAGCTGGTGCCCACCGGTTGCCCTGCATGCCGAGTCCAGCTTCCCGAGCGCGCTCCTGCCCAGGGCCAGCCGACTAAGGGGACTCCTGGCTGGCTGGGCAGAATGGAGTGGTGGCTTGCTGGGCCTCGCGGCCGGCTCCGACTTCATCTCCGAGGATATAGCTCCTAGCTCCGGCAGGCCCGCTCCGGTGCGCCAAGGCCCGCAGCCGCTCCCCGCGGCGAGAGCTGGCGTGCACTCCCGTCTGGGCGAGGCGCTGCCCCACCCCTGCCTGCTTCCTGAGCGCATCCCGGGCTGAGGCCGACTGTGGACTCCAACCGCTGCGCGCCTTGCGGAGGGCGTCGCCACGGTCGGGCCTCGGCCTCTCCGCACTCCCCCATGCCACGCACACCGTTTCCCCCTCGCGTCGCCCGACCCCTACGCTGGACTCTGAGGCCAAGGACGCCCCCCGCCCCCCTGCACCGTCCTTGGGCAGCACGCGGCCTTCCCTCGGATGCAGTCCCCCTGACTCTTGTGTAACCGGGCTCAGAGCCTGGATTCAGTCTGAGTTTGCAGCTCTGCCACCCCGCATCCTCCCACGCCACGCACTCTCCAAAAATCCCCGCAAAAAAAGAAAAAAGGTCACCTCCCCAAATGCGGGGTCTTAACGGACCTTAACTCCCCACCCCCACCCCAGGCGCCGGACCTCCTGGAAGGGACACGGACCGGCGGGGGGAGGGGGGTCTGCAGACCGCAGTGGGGGCGCGCGCGGCGGAGGGGAGCCGGGCGCGACCCCCCGAGTGGGCGCGCTCCTACCTGCGGGCGGCGTGCGGGCGGCCGGGCGTGCGGGCGGCGGAGCGTCCAGCGCGCGGAGGGAGGCGGCCGACTGCTCCGAGCCGCGGCATCCCCGCATTTATTTGAGCGCTAACCGAGCGACTGTTGACTTTAGCACACAAAGCAAAGATTTCACTGCCCGCTAGTTTAAAAATGAATATTTTACCAAGATATCGATCAGCGTTATAAAATTCAGTTAAGTACAATGGGATCCCGGCAAAAAAAAAAAAAAAAGAATAATAAAGGAGGGGGAGGCAATATAATATCTGTGCAAATTTGCTGAAGTGTGACGTGGCATGGAAAGTTTACCCTCCTGGAATTCGGATCTGGAATGTGTTTTTTCGGTTGTTTACTGACTTTGTTTATTCACAGATCACGGTTGCTTAAACCGGCGCGCGGAAGGCGGGGTGGGGGGAAAGGAAGACAAGGGGGCGGGGGTGGGGGCGCTGCACCCCACGATGGGCAGAGTCGGGGACAGCGGGCGGAGGACCAACGCCGAGCTCCGGGCTGGGGGGAGGGGTGTCGGGAGGGCGAGCAGCTCCGAGAAGCCCCCAAAGCGGCAGCTCCCGGACGCCCAGCTTCTGCGCCGGGACGCAACTATATCTTATCGGCGGGGATCAGTGGGAGGGGGGCGCGCTAAGTAGTTTAAAACGACCCTCGCACAATGGACGTGCGATAGGAAACAGAGCAGGTTAGGGCAGCGCGTTCAGGCTCCTTTGTCCCGCACTCGGCCCCCGGCCCTGCCTCTCGGCTCCTTCGCCCTGGGAGCCTTTTATGTGATAATGAAACACATTTTCAGGCCAGGCTCGCGACGTGTGTGTCCTTGCCATGGGGGACAGAGACGGCCTGATTGCTGGCCGCGCAGCCTCCGGATTCCGCCCCCCGCCCAATTTCTTGGGCCTTGTGTTCTTTGGGACAATGTGGCTAAAAAGGGATTTGGAGCTGGGGGGTGGGAGTGGGGGTGGGGGGAGCGCCGGAGGATGCGGACTCGCAGACCTTTCTCCAACGCGTGGGAAGGCTGGGGGGTGGGGGTAGGTGGGCAGGGACCCCCAGCAAGGTGGCAGGGCTGCGCTTGGAGAGGTGGTGTCCAGGGCCAGGGCGCAGAGGGGCATTGCAGGTTCCGAAAGTGGAGAAGCCCAAAGATCCAGTCCTGGGCTTAGAAACTGGAGGCAAAAACATCTGGCCTCGGAGGCCTGCGTGTTTTGTTCTTGTTTTTGTTTTTATTTTCTCTACTGCAACCTTGCTGCGCACAGATGCGGCTCCCCTCAGCCCTGGCTGGGGCAGTTTGCAGTCGGGCAGAGTCAGCTCCACGCTCTCCTTTGCACTCCCGATCGGGACTTCCATAGCCTTTGGTTTCTAATGGAAGATGATTAGGCTGTTGGGTTGGTGGGAAGAGGCAATAGCACTTGTCAAAGTTTATTCTGGGTCTTTCTGTATACTTCTGGGGTTTCCTTGAAGACCCATAAAAGACCCGCTCACCCCTCGGCCGGCAGTCCTGGTTTCCCATCCTGGCCTCCCTCTTACATGCTCACAGCCTACTTTGCAAGGGCCTTGGGGTTCTGTGGGGGAGGAAGGAGGAGTGGGATTTCACAGCTGCAGGGTTCATTGGCCGGATACCCCTTACCTCTGCTTCACCCCTAAGCGCCTTATTTTCAAAAAGGAGATTCCAACTCCAGGAGAACATGTAGGCTTCCCAGACCAACCTCCCCACCTCCCCTCCCCGGGTGTCTCACCACTCCCAGACTGGCCAGATCTCCTGTGGTTGTGCAGAAGATCACAAGAGAAGAGGGGGCTGGAAAGCGAGGCTGCTGGGACTGAGGCAGAATCCCATTCCACAGGAGGATAAAGGTCAAATGACCAAGTCCTGCACACCCTGAATTCGCAAACCCAGCCTGAGATTGCTGCCTGAAAGGGAGGCCCAAGATCAGCAACACAGCAAAGACATAAAAACCCAGCCCAGGGAAAGCCAAACAGCCCAGGTAGAACTCCAAGGTGTGTGCAGTGGTCCTCTCCAACCCCCGCCCCCCACCCCCAGCTTGAAAAATAAACCTGCTGAGCAGCCCACCTACAATCTGCAAGTTTCACTGTGTGTGTGTGTGTGTGTGTGTGTGAGTGTGACCTTAACCTCAAAATGCAAAAGCAGCAGCCATAAGCAAGCGACATTAAATTGTAGCGAAGGAGCTGCTTGCTGAAAAAAAATTTTTTTTTGATGTCTGCCATTCACTTTGAAACACATTCAGAGAAATAAAATGGATCAATCGGCCCACAGAGGTTTGGCAAAGGTGGACAAATGAAAGATATAGCAAGCATCAGGAAATGTTAACTTGTATGTAGGGGCTTAGCAGTGGGTCCCAGTGTGCTTACTGTAACATTTTAGCATGTCTGAACATTTGGATAATAAAGTGTTGTCTACAGAGCAACACATAAGGGTCCCCCTGCCCCAAGTAAAACCTGCAACCAGCCAGGGTCTCCCACCTTCCTGGAAATAATTTCAGACCTGTTTATGGGTGTCAAGTCAGGCAAAGGGAAGAACAAAACAAAACAACCAAACAAAAACTCTTAAAGAAAAGATTCCAGGGATAAAACCGGCAATAACATTTTAATATAGATTTGTGGAACTCTGGCCCTTGTGGCCAGAATACACATTTATAAGCCATAAATAAAGCACGCAGAAACCATAAATTAATCAGACCCGAGACCTGGATTTTCGCCATGTCAAGAATGGGCATGATTTTCTTTTTTTTTTTTTCTTGGTCATTTACAACAGACCTTGACATTTTTCCCCCTTTTAAAACGATAGTACAACCCGCTGGTTCTCTGTTAAAACTACATGGTTTTTACACCGAGTCACTCACAAAAGTTTTTTTTTTCCCCCTTTAAAGCAAGACTCGCCTGCAACAACATCAATGGATAATGACAACAAAAGGTCAGAACTGGCAGGTGCTTCCAAAACCAGGAGTCTACACAGCAGTGAAACCGGAGGTTTTCTTTTATCTTCTTCCTTTGTTTCTTTTCTCTTTCTTTCTTTCTTTTTCTGAATTTATATTTCTTCCTCTTTCCCTCGCTATATAGAACGACAGGTTTCAATGTCATCTTTCCAGGAGAGAAGGGCTTGCCTTGGGGGGGGGGGATGTCACGGATCTCTCCACCCTTGCATCTCTCCAAGCCCCCCTGCTAAAGTCTGCACAGCCACTTCCTCCTCTTTCTCTCTCTCTCTCTCTCTCTCTGGTCTGTGTCCCAGGCTTGTCTGAGCCAGTCGGGCCTGAAGCCGCCTTCTTTAAGAAGAGTTCATGATGGGCCGAGAATACACCCCCTGGTAGTAGGAGGTCTCTGCGGCGAGGGGCGAGGCGTCCAGGCCCGCTTTGTTCGTAACGGGCCCCATGGCCAAGCTGCCGGGCATGGGCGACCCGTAGCCGGGATAGTGCATCACCTGTTCATAGGCCTTGAGGTCCATTTTGTGGGACTGGTGGTGGCTGTGGTGGCTGTGGTGGTGCTGTTGCTCCGAAGACATGAGATTGTTGATGGAGAAGGGGTGGTTGAAGGCGTAGTGGTGCTCCGGCTTGAGGTGAGCCTCGGGGGGCAGGCCCGGGTGGTGGGGCGGGCCCAACAGGTGGGCCGCGGCCGCCTGCTGCTGCTGCTGCTGCCCGGGCGAGGGTGCCGGCTCCGGGGGACTCAGCGCCGCCCCGGCCGCCGACCCCTTCAGCTCCCCCAGCGCCACGCGCTTGTGCTCCTGGCACGGCGAGGCGCTCGAGTGAGGCGACTCGGTGCCCGCTGGGGTGTCCGGGGCTGGCCCGGCCACCTCCCCGAGCTGAGCCTGTGAGGCTTGCGCGCCCACCGCCGCCGCCTTCTTGCCGCCGGCCCCAGCGCCAGGGGCTCCGGCCTCCTTGAGCGCCAGCTGCTTCTCGCACTTGAAGCGCTTCTGGCGGCGCAGGTAGCAGCCGTTCTCGAACATGTTGCCCGAGTCCGGGTGCAGGGTCCAGAAAGAGCCCTTGCCGGGCTTATCCGGCGAGCGGGGCACCTTGAGGAAGCAGTCGTTGAAGGAGAGCGAGTGGCGGATGGAGTTTTGCCAGCGCTGCTGGTTCTGCCGGTAGAAGGGGAAGAGGTCCATGATCCATTGATAGATCTCGCTCAGCGTCAGCATCTTGTTGGGGCTCTGCTGGATGGCCATGGTGATGAGCGAGATGTACGAGTAGGGTGGCTTGGCGTGCGTGTAGCTGCGCCGGTAGGTCTTGGGGTCGCGCGCGCGGCTCAGGCCCGCCTGCCCATACATGGGGCTCATGGAGTTCATGTTGGCGTACGGGCCCAGGCCGCCCATGGCGCCCGCCGCCTGGCCCCCGAGCGGGCTCAGGCTGGGGCTCAGGTGCGGCCCCATGCCCGCCACGCCCGCGGCCCCGGCCGAGCCGCCCATGCCCGCCATGGCGCCCGCGCCGGGGGACATGCCCGCCAGGGACGGGCTCATGCCCGCGCCCACGTACGACGACATGTTCATAGAGCCCGCACCCATGTTGCCGGAGCCGCTGCCCATGGCGGCCGCCGACATGCTCATGTACGTGTTCATGCCGTTCATGCCCAAGCCGGCGTTCATGTTGCTCACCGAGGAGTAACCCTGCAAACAGAGCCCGCGGAGGGAGAAGGGGGCGACAGAGTTAGCACCGCGGCTGTGGGGTGCCCGCACCTCCCCGAGCCCCGCCGCCCTAGCCGGCCCGGGTCCCGCGCCTCCTCCGGGGGAGGCCTTCCCTGCTGGGGGGGTACGCCTGTATTTGGACATCGAGGCCTTTTTACCCCGAGCGAGCTCTGATCGCTTTTTGGGGAGGTGCCCGGTGAGCTGTTGCTCTGGGCACGAAACTGAAGCTTCCTAGCCTGTCTGCGCCTAGCGCACGGGGATCCCCGGAGCACCCCAAAGCCGAGCACTCTGGATGCACCTCCCCTGCCCGCAGTCTCCTTCTAAACTCTCCTGCCAGCATGCTGAGCCGGCGCCCCGGCTGAGGGTCTCCGGACGACACATCCTGCCCTGGCAAGCCACCTTTGGGACACCAGGCGGAGACTGTCCCAGGGTCTCCTCCATCGGGCGCTCCTCCCCGACCCCCTCCCCAGCCCCTGGGGAGCTGAAACACGAGCCAGCGCCTAGCCCGGACGCAGAGCGGGACATCGCCCCGAGGAACAGCGCAGGAGCCGCGCGCGCTGGGGACACCACAAACTCCCCGCGGCCGGGCTCGGCAGTCGCAAACTTTTCTTTCGCCTCCTTCGCCCGCTGCTCTGCCGCTGCCTCCACCTCACCCCCCAGCTCCTGCCCACCACCTTCCCCTCTTCAGCTCCCCACCCCTCCCCAGCCGCGCGCTGCCAAACAGAACTGTGTTAGGAGAGTGCGTGGCTCGGCCACGAAGAGGATTTGGAGGCGCCGCAAGTCAATATTTGATCACAAAGTTAATATTATCTCAAGGCTAACAGTGTGTCGTATAAAAAAGAGACCCATTTGAGTCGAAGGAGGGAGGTAAAGGCGGCCGCCCGGAAAGGCTGGGGTGGGGGGGCGGGAGCCCGCGAGGGGAGCGGTCCCGAGGCGGGCGCGGGGCGAGCGCCGCCCGCCGCCCCACTCTCCCCCGGGCGAGGCGAGCGCTTACCTCGGGTTCGGCGTAGTAGCTACTCCAGTCGGACGGCTCGTGCCCTTCCATCTTCACAGCTCCCAGCATACTGGAAGCCGAGTGCATGGCAGTTTAAAATTTAACAGCCACAACAAACGACCGGCGATCACCCCCCACCCCCACCCTCTTTAAAAAAAAAAAAAAAAGTCAGCCGAGGCACCGTCCCCTCCCTCCCTCCGCCCTCCTCGCGCTCGCTCGCTCGCTCTCGGCTCCACTCCCTCTTGCGCCGGCCGGCCGGAGGCGGTGGCTGGAAGTGGGCGGGAGGAGGGGGCGGAGGAGCGCAGGAGGCCCAGGCCGGGGCCCGGCTGTCGGGAGCGCCCGCCGCCCGCGCCCCGCTCTCGGGCTGCCGGGTGGCGGCTGATGCTGGCAGTGCCGAGCTGCCCCGAGGCGGCGGGAAGCGCGCAGCGCAGGGGTGGGTGGGGGAGGGGGGAAGAGGAGGAAGAGGAGGAGGAGGAGGAGGAGGTGCGGACCGCGGAGCGGACAAGTGCCGCAGTGACGTGGGCGGCTGGTGATATAGCGCGGCGCGCTGGCGCGGGCCTCCAATCCCCAGACCCGGGGCAGCCCATTTGAATAATCAGCTCACACCTAGGTGAGAGGGAGCCTCGGCCCGCGCGCCCCGCACCTGCCCCTCCGCGCCCCGCACTCGGAGAGAGCGAGCGTGGGGCGAGGGGGGTGTCAGGCAAGCCGGCCGGCTGGCCGGCACCCGGATCCAGCCAGCCTCCTGCCCTCCCGGCTCCGGACGGTGTCCCCCCCCCAACCCACACACACCCCCACCTCGCGGTGGGAAGAGGGACCCGCAAAGAGGCCAACCTCGGGAGCGGCTCCGGCCCAGGACCCCCGCCCCGTCCCAGAGCGCCAGGCTCCCGGCGCCTGTGTCCAGGACACGCGTCCGGCCGCCGCGCCCCGCAGAGCCGGATTCAAGCCGGATTTATTTTTCCCGGGGTTCTTCAGTGCTGAAAGCAAGCAGCGGGCAAAGCGCCGTCGTATTCAGAAAACCTGTGTACACACCTCGAACTCTGCCGCCGCTGCTCCGGGAGGCCCCTCCCGGGACCGTCACAGCCGAGCCCCGCGGTGGCTGCGGAAGGCGCACGGGGCGCGCATGGTCCGGCGGCCGCAGGCCCGGCCCGCGCCTCCTCCGGGCTCAGCCGCCAGCCACCCACAGTGGGGACAGCCGGGCGCAGCCCCGCTGGCTGCAGCCGACGGTTGGGAGGCTATGATTTGTCTCTGACATTCAGGCCCGCGCCTTTCAAGGTTACTTTTCAGCCACTACCGAGGTGCTCGCAACGTTTCGTAACTAAAACAAACAGGGCGGCGGGGGAGGACAGACTGGAGTCCAGGAATCAAAAGTGACTTCCGGAGGGTCTCTGTCCGTCCTCCCAGCATTCCGGGGGGCTGCTCTGTAAGAAACTCCAGCAACCCAAACGCCTGGATTGTCTTCCCTGGGCACTTGGGCTCAGCCTGGTCGCCTGTCCTGCGCCAGCTCCCCGCGAAGACCTCAGAGCCCAGCTTTGGAGGTGGAAGGGACTCACGGGTGACGCCCTTCCTTGGTTCTGAAAACCTGGGTGGGCCATGGCAATCTAGTCCTGGACTCTCTCCCCTGCGAGATGGAGAAGAAAAAAGGAGGAGGAGTCTGGGGGGCGTTGGGCCCACCTGTGCAGGGGTGATGGTAGCAGAAGGCAGAGGAAGAGGCAGGCTTTCAGCTGAGCCATGGGAATTGAAGGTCTGGGGAAAGGTCAGGAGGGAGCCACACTTGCGGTGGAGCACCTGCTAGACCCAGGCCGCATCAACACCTGCGTCGTGTTGGACCCCAGTCGCAGCCGCCCTTCGCTGCTGAAATGCGGGTGGTTTGGACAATTCCTGGCGTGGGCATTCGTAGTGCTAGGAGGGGTCCCCCAAGAGCAAGGTTCCCGACCCCGGGATGGGGAGCGTTTCCAGGAGCGGCTGGCGGGCCTGGCCCGGTGCGTCTGGCAGCGCGCGCAGGTGTTCCGACCACGCACACGCAGGCACCAAGGCGGGCCATGTCCTCACCACTGGGTGCCACCCGAGAAGCAACCTCACCGCTCTGCCGAAGGCTTGGGGTGGTGATGGGGTCGCATTGGAGCTGTTTTCCTCCAAGCTTTATGTATGCTCGGGCCAGAGTTGAAATGCAGCATCTCGCCCCTACCCGCAGCTTCCTCCTGCCCACGGGGCATGCCTCCCGTTCGGTAGAAAAGGCATCCAGAGAGACAAAACCACGCCAACAACACACTGGCAGCTTCTTGCCTCGAGCGGGGTCGACAGTTCAGAACGTGCTGGCCACCCTTGTCTGTTGCCCGAGTTTCTGAGTATGCCTTGGGTTTTTGCTCCTGGTAGAAAATTGGATATTAGAAATTATTCTTCTAGCTCAAGGGCCGAGCAGGAGCCGGGAGAACAGCCC